TGTTCATTACTTCAACCTGCCATAATTTGATAATAATTCGATCCACGAAAATTTTTTTTGTATTCGAACATGCTGTCATTTGAATAGTTTTCGAACTCTTTCGATAAATACTCAAACCTATATCTTTTGATAAATACGTGAACCTATTATTTTTCATTAGCATTCGAACCCCATATCTTCTTATTAGTACTCGAATCCACTATCATTTGATTAGTACTAAAACCTACCCTTTTTGAATCCCTACATTTAATACTTCTTTACTCTTAATCGATTCTTTAACACACACTCTTTTGATCAATACTCAGAACCAGGGGCCTCTCAAGTTAATCGGTATCAGCTGCCAAATGCTGTGCAAAGCATAGAGGTAGTGGGTTCGAATCCTGTGATTACCCTGGATGTATCAATAATCGAGCCAACTTTTTTTATCGGTACTGGAGCTCATTTGATCAATTTCCGAACTGACTCTATTTTGCTTAAAACTCAAAACCATTATCTTTTTATCGGCACTCGAACCTCACTCTCTTTTTATCAAAATTGAAACCTGTTGTCATCTGATCAATAATCGAAATAACTATTTTTTATCGATACTCGAACCCGCTATGATCAGTTTTCAAACTTACTATCATTTGATCATTACACGATCCCACCAACACCTCCTAGAAGAGGATCAATTTAGTAGTCCGATGTGACGAAGTTAACTGCGCAGTAGATGAAAAATCATTACGTTCGGGGTACTAAGCTGCGCAGTGGATGAAAATACGAAATATGTCATTACATTTGGACTACTGAAGGATATTTAAGGTAACCCGTGCTGAGGCCTGTTGTTTTCTAGGAGGTGTTGATCCCACTCTATTTTGGCCAATACTAAAACGCAGAACTTCTTTATCACTACTAAAAACTGCTCTTATTTGAACTATTTTTTAACCTATTATCACTTGAACAGTTTTCGAATCCACTCTCTTTTGAACTATAGCTGAACCCTCTCTTTTTTTCAGTACTGGAACCCGCTATCATTTAATCAGTACAAGAACCCACTAGCATTTGACCAATTTTCGCACCACAATTTTTTTAATGATCAAATCCACCATTCTTTTTTTTCTATACTATAGCGCTGTAAAAGGACTTTTAAATAAACTGGTTAACATTAAAACTGGTTTTGTAATGGGCATGCGTTCATAAAAACCGTTTATCAAAAAGAAAAATAGAATTTTTTTATTTATTCTGAGTTTTACGCTATTTAAATTTAATAAATTCGACAAACAATCGTGAAAAATCCACATCAACCACAAAAACCTCCTTTAAAGACAAAAATTAACATAACACAATGCACTTTAACCAGCAACGAAAAACACTTCACCGCCACTACTTAGGTGATTACAAACATGTTACTCTCTAATTCCTCGAGAGATGGCAGCACTACATTATTTTTCCTTGTTTAACACCAAGGCCCTAACTGAAGGTAATTTTTAAGACCATAATGTAATTTACGATTAGTAGTAGTAATATTTTACGAAAAATAAAGGGCTACAATTTTATTTTTATGGTCAATGACTAGAACACTTTTTGTCGAGCGCTGACAGTACGTTAGCGATGATGTTTTATGCAGTGCATAAACGATTTCCAAGAAAAGAAGAAAAAAAAAATTATTATTCGAATACTATTCACCTAGTGTTTTGCTATTTAAAACTACTCTGTTTATGAAGATGTAAAAATTTGAGCAGATTTCAGTTTGCAAATTTTTTTGATTAGTAATGAATAAATTTAATATTCAAAATTATTCAACATTTTTAGTATTTTTGTTTGCGTGAAATTATCTCGAGTTGTATAATTGGAAAACTTTCCTAAAAACATAAAAGGTTTAAAATAAAAGAACCAATCTTTCCAATATTTTAACTAAAACTATTCGACTGATTTTATTAAACTATTGTAATTCTTCTGATGGAACTGATAACACTTTTATTTCATTTTATTAATTTAATTACTTTAAAAAAATAATTTAAGCTACGCGTCTCTATATTTTGAGTAGCAAACATGAAAAATCCTCCGAAAGAAGATGCACTTATTTAATCAGTTTCGGAATTTAATTAACAAGAAATAATAACTTATCTAATGCAAATTAGAAATTTCTATTAACTGCACCATTAAGATTTTACCTATTAGTCCATGAGTATCCAATCAACGACCATAAAATATTCTGCTCAGTACCTTTAATGCTTTGTATTGTACCTGAGACTAGAGCTGTAAATAATGGGAGAAAAGGCGATTTTTCCTTTATAATCTATAACTTAGCTTAGAAGAAAAACACGTAAATGCGATAAAATATATGTTTAAAAAGAATAACATTGTTAAATTCAATTTACTTTTTTTAATTATTTTTAATTATTACGCAAAATGATAAATTAATTTTTTATTGCATACTATAATATATTTTATAGTGGGTTTCTTCAAATTTCGATCATGAAAAAATATTCCAATGATACAAAGAATAAAATATTTATGTACTTTAAATCTATCGACAAGGTAACTTCAATAAAATTTCTATCCTTTCTTACATTTTTTAATTGTTATTAAAAAGGTTAATTGAGTTATGTTTTAACATATATAATGCGCAAAATAAAAATAAAAATTAAAAAAATAAATAAAAAAACAGACCAGTTTGAATGACTTTAGATTTACATCTGATCTACATGTTCTAAGATTCAATCCATATGGTCAAAGGGTATTGGGATATGATTTAAGCTTTATCTCAAATATGCTAATAATTGGTGCAGACAATATAAGTTAATAAGTTCCAATATTTTAAAGAAAAAAAGTCGTATATTTAAAATTCGATTTCTCAGCTACTATTCGAATTTTGTATTTTGCGATAGAAAATGACATTCTCTGAAATTATGTAAAATGTTATATCCTTTGCAATTCAAAATGTTTTGGCATTTTTTAAATAAAANATGACTATAGATTAACATCTGATCTACATGTTCTAAGATTCAATCCATATGGTCAAAGGGTATTGTTATATGATTTAAGCTTTATCTCAAATATGCTAATTAATTGGTGCAGACAATATAAGTTAATAAGTTCCAATATTTTAAAGAAAAAAAGTCGTATATTTAAAATTCGATTTCTCAGCTACTATTCGAATTTTGTATTTTGCGATAGAAAATGACATTCTCTGAAATTATGTAAAATGTTATATCCTTTGCAATTCAAAATGTTTTGGCATTTTTTAAATAAAATATTAAAAAAATAAATATTTACAAAAAAATATTTTTTACATAGAATTATCTCTGAATAATTTTGTTTTATAATTTTGTGAAAGAAGTTTTCAATTCGCTTTAAAAATTTTTGCTGTATGGCGAACAACCAGAAAAGTGAAACTGGCATTTAGGGATCCAAACTTTGGATCGCTCACCTGACCATATTTCTCAGATTCCGGCTACCCCTATATTTTGGATGTCAGAATTCGGAATCAGTCGAAAAAATAGTATATTTATTCAGGGAAAGTTTAGATGGATAACTACAAACAATTCCTTATAATTTTGTCAAAGAAGCAAAGTGTTGCACAGATACTAACAAATTCAAAAAATTTTCCAGAGAAGACTATATGCCCAGGTAACCCAATTTATTGTTAGATGACTTCCTATTGTTAGGTAGTAAGCTGCTGTTAAAAATCAATCTAAGTAAAACCTTTTAAAATCTCATTTTTAAAAATATTTATGAAATGCTCTTTCACTGGGGGGGGGGGGTCCTTCACTGGTTTATTTACCCTACTTATGCAAAAAATACAGTTTCGTCCAGAAGAAATCTTTACACCTTTACACTCGTAGGTGTATTGAATGTGTGCGATTTTTGTGCCAGAAAAATCTCAAACTTTACACTTGTAGAAGTATTTACGTTGCACAGAATTTTTTTTGCTAGCCTTGTATAATTTTTTATGTTGGTTTAATTGATATCCAAAATAGCATCGTATTCATTCTAAAGTAACATCGTATTCATTCTAAAATTGCAGCCCTCGTTTAATATAATGATGCCAAAAATGATTTAGGAATTTCGCACTAGGCTAATAATTATCTAATCTACAACTCACCTCATAACATACTTTAACAGTATCCCAACACTACCCAAGTAGCACTCAATATCGAATGATCTCGAAAAAACTTCGCTTACGACATCGATCGATGTTGTTCCGAAACATCGATCTATGTATGTAAAAACGTCAGATTTTTTTAATATTGTACGACATTGTGAAATTTGATATAGATTGATATCTCAATAACGCCGTAGAATGCAGAGTTTGAAAAAACCATATTCCACGGTGTTTACAGATACAGTAGAACGTCGATGAATATTTTCAGCACGTTATTCGTAGAACAAATATTAATAAGCATTTAAAGATGCGGCAGAACACCGATCGATAATTTTGATACGTTATTCAAGAAATTTTTTTCACTGGGTATTGAAGGATATAGGTAAATTTGTGTTAATTACTTTATAAGGTTCTGCACTTCAGATTTTATTTCGCTAATTGTACTCCAATTTTTCAACAAAAAATAAGCACTCAAAATTATTTTTAATCAGTTTCCAAATATATATATATAATTAGGATTTGCTCAGTAATTAATTTAAAAACTAAGTGTAAAATAGGTGAATAGGAATAAGTGTGAGCACTGTAGATAAAATATAAGAAGTGAATATTAATGTAAGGCATGATAATAATTTTAAGCTCAACTATGATTTATAAATCAAAGACTATTTGCTTGTTTTAAAATAACCACATTTTCCACGCATGTAAATTAGTTTTCTTATTTTTTAGCATTAGCAATGCACATTTGATCTTTAGACAGGATTCAGTCACTGAAAATTAGTAATTTAATATATTGCACAACAGCACTAATAACTCAAAAAGTATTATAATTTTATGGGTTTAATAAAATTTACCCTTCTGATATGAACGTGCTTTGTAATATAGAAGGTGTGAATGCAGAGGAATAAAACAAAAAGTAGCTATGAATATTTTATTTGAATAAACATTAAAAATTTAGTAAAACAAATTGGCCCATTCTTGGGTCTCCAAATCCAAAAAATTGGTCACGTCAATTATCTTAGATTTTCGTCCGTTCCAATCAGTGGCTGTAGCAGACTTTCCCAAATTTTTCCGCAAGCTCTTGGGCCTCAAAACGTTTGAGAACTGTAGCTGGAAGTAAAACATTGAGTAATATTAATAACATTTAAAAAATAAAAACTGAAAGACTAACTAACAAAACACAATTTATTAATGAGTATATAACGAAACTTAGAGAACTAAACTGAATGAAGGGCTTAGAGCAATGTATCTCAACCTTTTTTTTTGTTGTTGTTGCGGCACACTTTTAGCGATTTCGGAATTTGACGGCACACAATGAAAAAAAATTAGATTCAAAATTGTTTACTTACCTATAATACACTGTGTTAAAAAGTTTGTGATAATAATATGTACTACAAAAGCACGTTTATTAAGGGATTAATTATTTCTTTCGACTGATTCTTTATTAGTAAGTAACAGTTATTTTTTTCCCCTTCGTTTTGCTAGTTATTAATTGTTAGCTTGTTTTCTATAGTTATTAACTGTTATTTTTTGTGATTTCTTGATAACTAGTTTTTTTTGATAATTAATTTTTAGCTTATTTTTTTTGTTAGTTATCCTTTCCTAATTTTTTTTTTTTATATATTTGTTTTTTTTAAGTTATCCTTTGTTAATTTGTTTATATTGCATAGCTTACTTTAATGATTAACTTATATTTCCACTTGCAAGTTAATATTTAGCTTGCTTTCCTTTGTTAATAAATTATTTTAATAGTCATTAAATTCCCTACTTATTTCAACATTTTTTTAAAACTGCGTGTCAAAGACACTATTCCATCTTACTTTAAGATTGTCAGAGACAAGGCAATCGCCGACAAAGATGTTCACATGGTTAAAGCGTAGAAAAATTATAAAAAGTATATATATACTTTTTATGAACATTTCAAGCACATTTTAAGAATTTGGCAGCACAAAAAAGTGCCGCGGCACTGCGGTTGAGAATCACTGGCTTAGAGAATCGACACACGGATTAAAAAAAGGGCATGCTGCATTAGACACTGTTTTGTAAAACTGTCAATATTCAAGCGGCAATGCTGTATATTTGATTAAATAATAAATTCTGTAACAACAAAAAGTACTATAATAAAAAGCTTATCGGTTCAGTTTTAATTGTATTTCTTAATATTCAATTTTACTTCTATGTATTAAAGAACATTCTCTTATACTAATGTGAATACACAAAAAGTATTGAAGTTGAAAATAAGATTTATTTTTAAAATTTAGATCTGATGTTGATTACTTATGATTACATATACTTAGAAGTATAATTAAACAAAAGCTTAAACTTATTATAAATACACTGCACTTCCAAATGCATTCAATTCTTTAACGTAATCGTTTTTTTTTCCTTCTACAAAATTACTTTTTTTGTGATCCAAAAACTATTGACGTACAACTGTGTTAGACTTTGAAAATTATCAAGCCTCTCTCTTTTTGGTTCGGATTTCTGAAACTTTTTTGCAACATTTGGTTTCCTTTACATGGGGACAAATTTTTATTCTGTATTTTTCAAATAGAGAGAATCTTTTCCTAGCATTATTTTTAAATTAAATTTAATTATAATGATGCCTTTAACTACAGCTTGCAAAGATATAAATCGACTGATGATATATATTAATACATATTAAAAAATTGTGAATATACACGAAAAATCTTGAATAAACTTAGAAATGTTAAGGATTAACTGCAAATTAATGTTTGTAAAATTTAATACAAATAGAGAGGAATTCTAAATATTTTGATTTATTATTTGCAATTGGAATTGTTATTCAGATAAAAAACTTTAATTTTTTTTCTTAAAGCATTTAAAAACTGGAAGGAAAAAAATATCACATATATATATTAATAAAAATAAATATTTTAATCAACAATTTTACCCAAATAACATTAGTGATGGCAGGCACTCTTTCAAATGAGGACTTTTCTTTTCGCCTCAGTCACAATGCCGGCATATGGAGTCAAAATACTGAATCTGAAAACAAAAGTTTGTTAATTTACTCAAACAGCTACAAGACAATACAAATTACGTTAAAATTTAATCTAAAAGACTATTAAAATATTTATATTAGCTAGCCCACTTTCAAGTATTATTTAACATGTACACTTGTTAAAAATAAGTAAAATAGATGCCATCAACAACTCAGCAGCCGATACATCGCTTAAAAAGAAAGTAACTATCAGTTGCTTAAATCAGATTTCTGATGCATCATCTAAAACTAAAGTCATTATATCGGCCTGCCGATATATGTGCTACGTAGATATTTTGAGATGCATCGATTTATTGACCGGTCTATATAGAATAATCATTTAAACTCTCCATACACCCTCAGTACAGAACAAATAAGATGGTGAAATTCTTTTTTGCTTTTTAAGGGGACAGCAAGGTTTGAAAAGGTTAAGATTCACTGGTCTATACTTTAGAGCAAAGGTTCCTATACCAAAGGATCCAATGAGCAATTGTAATTTTTTTGATCATAATAATAAATAGCTCCATTTTTAATAAAATGCTTTCTATGGAGAAAAAAATTAGGGAATGATTATAATACCATTGAATAACTCAATCATAAAAATAATTACAGTAAGTTCACCTACAAGCAAACTGTAAAAATTCTTATCTTCTTTCAACTTTTCCTCTAATTGATTAAGATCATCATCCGAAGAAAGCTGGAACTCAATACCTCTTGGTAATTCTAAAAGAACAGATGTTGAATTATCTTNATTACAATAAGTTTACTTACAAGCAAACTGTAAATTCTTATCTTCTTTCAACTTTTCCTCTAATTGATTAAGATCATCATCCGAAGAAAGCTGGAACTCAATACCTCTTGGTAATTCTAAAAGAACAGATGTTGAATTATCTTTCTCTTTTTCAGAGAGCTGAATTTGATGAGCCTTCATTTCTTTAATTTCCTTTCTTAACTGTTTAAACTCCTCTTGATTTTCTAACACACAGTTACACATCTTAGTCACTAAAATAACAAATACAAGAGATTAAGTATGTGCAGTTTTATAAATGTGTTCTTATTGCTAATAATATGATTAAGTATTTTATAAAAACATCAAGTTAATTAACAAAAAATGAAAACTATATACATTTACTAATACATAAACTAAATAATTTTTTTTAAAAATATTATAACATGCAAATTTTTCATGAAAAATAAATGAGGAAAAATGTTAAAAATACAAAATGTTACTCGCGGCTCCTAAATTTATACTAGTTTTCTCATCTTGCAATTGCTCTGTTCAGTGACAAGAATACAAAATAGTCTGATGTCATAATTTATTTATTTATTTAATAGCTAAAAGACTGAGTAGAGCGAATTATACACCTATTTTGGTGAAATTGCAACACAACGAAAGAACTGTCTGACATTTATTCAGTATAAATTCTAATCATTTACATGAAGGCATTAAGAATAAAATAAAACAGTAACAAAATATCACATCAAAATATAACATTTCTACTTGATATATATTGTAAATAGATATCAGTATAATATTAGACATTACAAAATTAATTTCTACACATTAATATTTTAGAATGAATCACAGCTAAGTTATAATCTTATTTAAGAAGAATCACACATAGACCTGTTGTGCTATATATATTAATATAAACCATGTTATATATATATATGTAGTGCTCCTCCTCTATTTTCCTCGTAAACTCTTTAGCCGTGGCTTTTCAATCATCATTATATTGCTGATTCCAATTTTCGCAGTCATATTTTAATATTTTTAATATCCTTTATATAAGGATGACAACATAATGCATTTTCTATGCTTTTATTGAGATATTGAGATTAAGAATAAGGAATCTATTTACAATTTATATACAATGGGAGCAAAGCTCCGAGACGCATCTTTATCCTTCCATTTCTAAAATATAAGTGTACACTTTTATAACGTGTTACATATAATTTCCTTCATGCCATGTGACCCAAATAATCCAGACCATTTTTTATATATTCTTTGTTAGGACCGGCGTTCTGTAACATCTGAAGACCAGATAGAGATGAATTAATATCTCAACAGTCTTGATTTTCATGGGAATTTGGCTTCGTTACGATTTTTTATTGCGCGGGGTGGATTCATTTTATAAATAAAGATTTCATCGCTATTCAACGGGACTAAATGTATACGCGAAGAGCCAAGTTAAGTATGTGAAAGAGAAATTTAATGTTCTCAGAGACCAGATAAGCTTATCTGCAGATAGATATAATTCTTTTTGAGTTTAGTCTCAAAAGATCCTTTTAATTTTATAAAGCTAGTATTTTAGATACTACNAGTATAAGATTAGACATTACAAAATTAATTTCTACACATTAATATTTTAGAATGAATCACCGCTAAGTTATAATCTTATTTAATAAGAATCACACATAGACCTGTTGTGTTATATATATATATATATACCTGGTCTGTCTTGGTTTTTCTGAGCACCTCTTTTGTGAAAAATTGGGATCCTTCATTCTCTGAGATCCTGCAAAATTAATTAACGTTGGATAGTTTAATAAGACAAAAATTGAAACTTTTTCTAACAAATCCTCAACATATAAATATATATATTTTAAAAAGTCATTTAATTTATAACTCATCCACCGAAAATAAATGACATAAAATAAATCTGAACAATATATTATTATTAACATGAATAATATATAAGGTAAAATGTTTTTCTCGCCATCCTAACAATTCTCTACAAAAATAAATAACTTGTAATATATTATGTTTAGATGCTAGATGTATAATAAGAAGCTGCATCGTAAAACATATTTTATACCATTAATTCCTCCATCACTTTATTTAGTGTATTACTATTATTATAAAAACAGTTGAATTTAAATTATAATTATGAAATATTGCTATTGAAAAATATTTTTTAACCATACAATTAAGTTTAATATAATTTATTTAAATAACCGTGAGAGTTTTTGCCCCTAAAACTATCTCGCAAAATTTATAAATTAAAAGAAAAATAATAATTTCAAAAATTTTGGTGCCCTTTGAAAATAATTGATAAATAAAGAATATGTATAATTCAACCGGAAAAACAAGCAGGAAAAGAGACTGGTCAAATTATTTTGGCACCCCCTTATTCAAACTTCATTATAAAATTAATTTAAATTATTAATTAACTTATTAGTTAAAATTTAAATGAAAGCTAATTATATAGGTCAAGAGAAGCAATTAATATTTAACGAAATTAAGTATAATTCTTTTTATAAATTCTATGAAAAATTTATACATTTTAAAGATAAAAATCTAAAGATTTTTTTTTTAAATTATTTTTTTTTGACGTTTTTAATTCCCCCGACAATGACAACCTATCCCTATCACCGAGTCCAGATATAGGTTCAATCGAATAAAAAGCTTAATTACCAATGAATTAGCTTCTGTAAAGTGGCGCTGTTGTCAACGTCGGCGAGATAGCTCTGAGGATATCTTACCAATGATCGGTACAATACCCACTGCCGTTTAGTAAATATATGTGTGTGAAAACGAAAAAATTTATAAACTTGTTCCTTTTATATTACTGTATTTATATGTATATTATTCTATTATAAAAATTGTGAAACGTTATGTATTTAACAGTAAAGAAGATTCAAATATGTATTAGTGATAACGCGTTATTTAAACTTAATACAAAATACATATAATTAAATTAAAATAACTTTTCAGATTTATTTCTATTTTTAAGCTTATACAACACTTTTTAATAAATAAAACTATTTATACAGTAAGACTTAAAAGTTTATGAGCAATAAATGAAAAAACCCAATTTCCCCCGGGTTTTTTCAAAGCCTGAAAAACAATAAAATATTTAATTAGAAAAGCTTTGACCAATATTTTCTAATCACAATCTTAGAAACTTATAAGTTTTAGCTGGTGCACTCTTATCCAAATTATACTTCAGTTTTTAAAGTTATTTTAAAGATAAAAAAAAAGTGAACAGCTTTAATATTTTGTATATTAACACATTTTGATATTATTTTTGACATTTAAATTTCCCTTTTTTATCTATAAATTTTTATTATTATTTTCAGCAAACAAAAAATTCTTTAAAGAAGTTTAAATAAACATAAAAATTTCTTTGATTTTGAGCCTTTAGTGTCTAGTTTAATTTTCCTTTAGTATACTCTTGTAACATAAGAAACACATATCATACTTTATACATAACACATACCTTACTTGATATCCAACACATTTAAAAAAAAAAAAAATTGTAGTAGCAACGAATTACAATCACTGTTGTATCATAAACTAAATCTTATATATTAAGAACTTTTATTTAGAGAATTATATTACAAGGCTGGATTAAATTTAGGTAAATAGAATATCATTGTTTTCAGAAATTGAAAAGTTTAACTTATTTCTTTTTTTAAAATTGTTTAATATTTCCATATTGCTTATTTTACTTTTAGACATAATTTTAAAATCTATATAACCTTTTACTACAATTCACTTACATGAATATTTTGATAAATTATGTACACTTATATCATTTTGAAGGGGTACGCTTACAGATCTACCTCCCCGTGGTGTACCCTGGTAACGTCTTTTGACGGCTAAGAGATCTGTAGTTTCCAGCATGTCTTCCCTTTGCTCCCGCCCCTCGAGGGCGGGTTTTGCTTTTTCTTTTTCATGGCAATGTTTTTGCTTTTTCATGTCAATTACCTCTGCCATTTGAAATAAATAAATATCATTGTGAGCACAATTTTGAATGTTTTAAAACGAATTAACTGTTAATAAGCACACGGGATTAACGTTGACAGACTTAATTTTTATGAAAAGTATCTATACACTCATAACTACAATGCTATGAACCTTGTTCCCACAATAAATTACATTAGAAATATTTCATCTTATAAAAAATTATTTTCGAACTTAGTGAATTTATTTAATAAAAACTATATAGATCGTAAAACATAACATTTAACATCCCAGCCAACAAGTAAACGATTCTGAACAAACAACTTTGACAATGAATTTACGTCATTAATTAGAATTTATTCCGATAATAATATTTAAAATTAGCGAAAAGTTAAAAACTACTAACTTAATTATAATTCAAAACCAGCTACATATCTTTTATAATAGAATGTTCTTTTGGTAATGTAGGCTTAACCCAGGGTACAGTATTAATAGAAATTATACAAGTAAATAGAAGATGAATAAACTTTGCTTACTTAAATTGAATCAGTAAGGTCACTTTTGACGACAATATTATGTTTTTAGTAGGAGATATAACACGCTGAACACATACAAATACAAATCGTAAAGCGTGACGTCAGAGCTGAAGATCACGTGACAAGCGTTCATATCGCTTAACTTTGTTGATAAAAATATTAAGTTCGCTTCACCTTCCAATCCCGTTCAATATCGTTTTCACGGAATTTTATTTTTTACTTTCACTAATGTGAGTAAGTATAAAGAAATTTTACTCATTTTTATCTTTCTAACAAATATTTTGAACTTTGGAACTAAAATATATTTAATATAGAATGTTTTAAGAAAAATACTTTTAAAGTTTCATTGACGGAATTCATTCAATAACTTGCTCACAGTATCTATATTCCTCCGCTTTCAAAATATTGATAGGAACGGCCACGGTATAGATCGATGTTTCTGTGCTACTTGGGTAATTTGTAACTTCAGTAGTAAACAAGTCTTTTAATAGTTCAAGGTTAGGAAATAGAATTAAACAGAATGTAGTAAGAATAGCATTACAACCGATTTTTATTTTCTAGAATCTTTGTTGTAATAGCGATTAAACAATTTCGCAATTGTAAACAGAAATTTCAGCTATTCAAATTTTCCATTATTTACATTTAATCTTCCATAAGAGATTCATCGACAGCAATGCAATGTGCAATGTTTCAAAGTTGTGTTTAGTTTAATTTCTATTCTACCCATAACTATAGTTTGATTCCAGCCACGCTTTTGCGGAATTAAAGTAATTTTTTAATTGTGACATAAAACAAAATTCATGTAGCCAGTTAATTTTTGAATGTTAAAAATTTCATTGCATCTTACTACCATGTAAATTAATCATTTCCTATTCCTAATAGTTTCCGAATATCAAAATAGTAGCGTAAAGTTTAATTAAATGGGTGACCGCTGGAATTTTTCAGCAATCCAAAGAAAGTCTAAAATTCAAAAACTAATCAAACTATTAACTAAGCTTACTTGCTTATTTACTTGCTTGAGAAACGAAAAGCTTTTATATTCACTAATCTTAATTTTGGAATACAAGTAATGTAAAAATTGTTCTCTATTCCCCCACTTGAGTTTTTAAAATTGCAATAAAATAAATATTGTCTGTTACAATCGAATCTTTCTGCTTTAGCTGCAATTGTTTTTACTGAACAAAAATAGGTAAAATTACGAATTCGACAAAGTTGTATTCCAAAACTTTTTATTTTAAATTTCAGCAAAGTACAGAAGCTAAAGATTCCGAGTAACCGCCAAATATATATTTACCCTTAGTTAGACTGAGTTTACTTGAAATTGTCTCGTCTGATAAATTAAACTGTTTTTCTTGAGCAACATTGAAGTGAAAGCAATTATTTTGGAGGTGCTGAACACAAAGCTTTTCTATATTGTACAGGTGAGATTAAAATAAACTTCTCAAGTGAAGTTTAATGATAAGAGTTTAAAATGTGTTTTCAATTTAAAATTTCTGATTTGACATTTCTCAAAGAGCCCTATAATAGAGTAAGTACGGTTTTCGAGATTTAAGTAATGCTTGTATTATAATTTTTCGAAATTTCTCTTGCAAAATGGTTCAGTATAGAATTGTAGAATGAATAAAAAGGCCATATTTAAAAACAATCAAATTGAATAACCGTAATAAATGGCTTCCCTATAAGCCTAACAAATAGTATAGATTGTGAATGATCACAGCGCCCTCTTTCGGTTAAGCAAAAACTTCTAACAAACTATGAGAACAAGGTTGCTTCAAAGAACTGATTTTTCGTTCCTATAGTATTACATCAGTGGAATTCAAAATGACCCATATAACATTAGTGATATTTGGCCAATAGGGGAGAGTGGGGTCAATTGTAACAGGGTACGATGGTAACAGAGCAAAAAATTCGAGTGTCGGGTTCTAGATTTGGTTCCTAGGTGACGCACAAGGTGTATTTAATAAATCTACATTTACAACCCTGCTGGCAACCATTTTTATGTACTTTTGAAAGAGTTACATCNTCGCCAATAACCCAGTGTGCAGCTCTAGTGCGACGTAAATGAACTACAACAACAACAACTTTAATTTGCTCAAACCGACTTTCTTTTTTTATCGGTACTGGAAACCTGAACCCTCTAGAATTTGATCAATTTCCGAATCACTTTTTTTAATGCTTGAACCCACAGCTTTTTTTGTCTTGCTTTCGAACCCATCATCATTAGAGCATTTTGCAGACTTTTAATCATCTTTCGAGAACACTGTTAGTTTATAGTTACTCGAATCCTCTATTTCATTGGTACATAAACCACACATCTTCTTACCAGTTCTCGAACCCACAATCATATCATCAATATTCAAGCCAACTTTTT